TTGCGCACTAACTACTACTTCTGTACATTATTGTTGAGCCTTATTACCTGGGTTTTTTTCTGTTGGTTGCAGCAACCTTTTTAATTTTTTCCAATATAGTATATTGGGTCTTGTCTCACTCTGCGCCACTTTGTTTAACTATTTATGTATTTTTCTTACTGCCACAAAACTTGCCACATGTATAAAAGCCTCTTACGTCTGTACTATGTGTAGAACACATCATGTTGCTAAGAGTGGGTGCCAATAGAGTCTTCAGAATTGGAGCCTTGGAGTAAATCATCTTAGGACCGTCTCCTAAAATTCCTACCAAAATGCTCCAGTGTTTTTTGATGATATAATGTCTGAATCATCATATCTTTTATGAATATCGCGAGGTCTAAAAATTCCAATCTATCTCTTTACTGATTACAAATAAATCTTAAATTGTATGGATTAAAATTTAAAAAAATCTTTAAACAATTCTAATCTGTCCAGATCACCCTTCCAAACAACAACAAAAATCATCTATATACCTCTTCCATAGGTCCAGGTTTACACCAAATGTGCAATTATTCAAGATGTATTCATCTTACCACTTGCCCATAAAAAGATTAGAGTAACTAGGTGCAAATCTGGTCCCCATGGTACTACCTTCCAATTGTCAAAAATGTCCATTGGCCCAAAAAGCATAATGACTTAAAATAAAAACCAAACATCTTACTAACAAATTGATTTGATCGTTCTTGAGTTCTGAATATATGGCTAGGGAGTACAGTATGGCTTCACATCCCAGTATATGTTCTATTACCGTGTATAGGGATGTGATATCTGCAATTACTAGCGTAAAATCTTCCACTCATCACAACAAAGATAGTAATCTGATAATTTGTGTAGTATCCTTTAAGTGGGATTTTAATTTGACAACTTGTTGTTGGAGACATCTGTCAACATATTCCAATAAGTTTGAAGTAAGTGAACCAATTTCAGAAATGGTTGGTCTCCCAGGTGGATTGACTAACTTTTTATGAATTTTTGGTAAGTGATAGAAAACCGCAATCCTTGGGAACTTGCAAGTAATTATATTCTTTATTGTTGAGGATGCCTCTATCGTATCCATCATTCAGAAGTTCAGCCAGTTCTTTGTTTAATTCTCCTATGAGGTTATCTTCTAATCTCATGTAAGTATCTAGGTCACTCAACAGTCTCTCAGTTTCTTTGTTGTAATCCAGAGTATCCATGATGACAACTAGAACTCTTTTGTCTGCAGCTTTAATGGTAATGTTAGCATCATCCATCAGATTCTTCAAGGCTCTCCTTTGTTTTATTGACAAGTTGTCCTTTCCTCTACACTTTAGTTCGAGTGTTATGAAGTCTTTTTCTACCATCCTCTAAAATATTCTAATTGATTCACTTTTCATATGATCTGGAATGGAGGTTTGTGTGTTAATATCCATTTTCCATTTGCTGGCGGATATAAGAGTTTTCATCAAAATATCTCTTTAATGTCAGATTTCTAATAAATTTATGAAGGTCTATCTATAGATTAAAATTCAAGTTAGTGGAGAAGGGAAAAAACTTCAAACCCTTCTTAAGGAGAAAAATGTAATCTTCTGTAAGCTCCTTACTGCACAGGTTGAAGACACATTGCCTCCTTTTCATCTCCATTTGTTGCCTCCTGTTTGATTGGTCTCCTTCTGCGTACCTTCTAGGTCTTTTTCTTTCAATTGTTGATCAAGAATTCTCTTGTATTTCCTTCCCATCCAATGTCATATTGTCCCTCAACTTCATTTGATCCCATAAAAAATAGTTTCCACGGGTTTATTGTTGTTTGTGTTGGGCATATGGGGACATCTCATTTACTTTTGGGGTGGGGCTTTGTCTGCAACTTGCATCCTTATTCTGACTTCTAACTGCAATGGGTGTCCGTATAACTTCTCTAGTAGATCTGGAATTCAGTTTATCCTACATATAGGAGCCTCCCTGTTTAATGATTTCTTGTTATACTTGTCTGTGTATCCAGGGCCGGTGCAAGGATTCTTGCCGCCCTAGGCAAAAGTAAAGTTTGCCGCTCCGCAATGTGACATCACAATGCCCCACCCATATGATCTGCCATGTTAACTAACGCCAGTGCTGCAGTGCCGCCGTGTTTACATTAAAAGGCCTGCAGGGACAGGCTATAAACATCAGAACCACTACATTAAACTACAGTGGTTTTGGGGACTATAGTTTTTCTTTAATGTGAGGTAAATTAGAGATTAGTGTCACTGGCTCCACTGGTCTGGTGTAGAACAGGATCTCTGGAGGCTGTTTGTAACTGTGGTCACAAAAATCAATGTTCTGGGGGAACGGGAAGCAGCTCCCTTTTTTTGGGACCCTTGCACAGCTCAAGGTCTGGGCCCCAGGGTACACCTTCATGTTCCACCAATTATTTTTTTCACAGGGTGTGGAGTGTGTAGGGGATGTCCTGATATGTGTGTAAGGAATGCATTGTGTGAATCTGTGTTTGTATGTGTAAGGGCTGCAAGGTGTGTTTCTGTGTATGTACGGGATGCAGTGTTTGCGTCTGTAAGGAATGCATTGCGTGTTTCTGTGTGTGTAAGGGATGCATTGTGTGTAAGGGCTGCATTGCTTGTGTGTGTGTGTCTGTGTGTGTAATGCATTGTGTGTGTAATGCATTGTGTGTTTTTCTGTGTGCAAGGGGTGCATTGTCTTTGTGTGTAAGGGGCACATTGCGTGTGATTGTGTGTGTGTTGGATGTCAATCTCTCCCCCCTCTCTTGTCACTCTCTTCTCCCCCCTCTCTCTCCCTTGTCACTCTCTTCCCCCTCTCTCTCACTCTCTTCTCCCCTCTCTTCTCTTATCTCTCCCCCCTCCCTTGTCACTCTCTTCTCCTCCTTGTCACTCTCTTCCCTCCTTCTCCCCCCTCCCTGTCAATTTCTTTCTCCATTCCCTGTCAATTTCTCCCCCTGTACATTCTTTTTCTCTCCCCTCCTGTCAATTTATTTCTCCCCCCTGTCAATTTCTTTCTCCCTGACAATTTCTTTCTCTCCCTCCTCCTCCCTGTCAATTTCTTTCTCCCCGTCAATTTCTTTTTCTCTCCTGTCAATTTCTTTTCTCCCCCTCCCTGTCAATTTCTTTCTCCCCCCCCCCTGTCAATTTCTGTTACTTGAGGTGTTCCTATGTTTATGGTTATATCTCTTATTCCATAATTGCCTTTTCTCATTCCTTGGAGAATTTCCCCTTCTCTTCCAAGTTGTTTGTTGCTATTTCTCATAATCTTCTTTATCTCTTAGAATGTTCTTCCTTTTCACCTCACTTACTTTTGACTCCAAATCTTTAGTTCTCCTTTCAATCTTGTCTAGTAGTTGCATCCCGAACAAGTGCCCCTGATATTATGTCAAATTAAGTTCTGTATTGTGAAGTTCTTTATTATTCTACCAAGTTGTTGGTGGCCTTGTTATACTAGTTTTAGAGCACTGTTTAGAGGATAATTCCTTTTCCTGGGTTTTATCTAGAGCAGGATTTTTATCCTACTCAAGAATATTTGTATATTTTATAACACACACACAAGTTTAATACTGGCAAGTTCACTGACACACACAAGCTTACTACAGACAAATTCACATACACATGCTCACTACAGACTAGCTCACAGACACACACATGAACTATATATGTGTTTATTTTAGGTAAATAAGAATATTTTGATGATTGTATAATTATATGCTTTTCATTATTAGTTAACACAACATTTATCTTTTTTTCAGTTTCATATTTGCTGGTTGATGCAAGCCACAGTTGGTTGCTGCATGTTATTGCAAAAATATTTTTTTTTTGTAACACAGAAAATTAATGTGCTCATTTTCAGTTTTTTTTTATAATTAGCACTTTAGACATTTGAGCACATAGCACTTTTTAGAAGAGTAAGTACACTACGAGTTACTGGCTATTTTTTCACCTTATTTAGTTCTTGTTTGGTTTAGCACAACATGTAGCCCACACAAACAATTCATACAGCCCACACACAAACAGCCTCAACATACACAGACCACGTACATAGAGAATAACATATACATACTAACACAACACCATCTGTGAGTCTTGAATAATACAATAAGGAAACTGATTGATCAAATTATTTGCCACTTTAAACCTTCTATATTCCAAAAATAGGAATATGACATTTTTTTTCAATTTAGTTGACCAGTCCAAATGCTGTTGATATTCAAGCCCACGTAGTTAAAATCTGGACCCAGGCCATTAAAATCCAGACCTGAATTTCAAACATCCAAACCATTTGCCTTATGGCAGCCACTGGGTAAATTGTTGACAAATAACCCTTGTTAGTGCAAGAGTTAAGTTATTGCGGTGGGTGGCCGTGATTCCTAAACATCCTCCACAATAAAAGGTAAAAAAAAAAAAAAAGCTTCTTCTAATTTCTTTTTTTTGGGGGGGCCAAATAAAAACGCATAATAAATTATGGGGAAAAAAAATACAAAAATACACAAAAATTATGAAAAAATAAAACTGATACATAAAAATAATCCAATTTGCCCTCCTGGTGAGCTTCACATGTACTGATGTGGAAAAAGGACTTTTTAAATGCTTCCCAATGCTTTAAATTGTCAGCCTGAGAGTTTTATTGGTTTCTATCACCAGGCAAGTCTCATAAAAGTCTCATAAAATAAAACATTTCAATAATAAAAAAATAACTGCCTGTCATAGGGTTCTGATTGGTTAGTTTGGAAAATATTTATTTTCGTTGCATTAATGATCAGGTCCTTTTTTTGAGATCCCCTGTGCCCAGAATGGTAGAAATATTTATTGACTCACCAATGGGGAATCTATGAGAATTCCCAAGCTTTAATTTTTTTATGGTTGGGGGCACAGGTATATTTAAATTTACCAATATGTATTTCATTTCAGCTATGTTATTCTGACTATCACAGAGAGAGATATACTAGGTAAAGATGTTTGCATGTTTTAGGACCTGTTTCTTTTTGTGCTTGAACGTTTTGGGCAGTGGTCCTCAACCCAGTCCTCATGGATCACCAACAGTCCAGGTTATTTCACTATCTTCATTGGAATAAAACAAGGAACTACATAAATCCTGGACTGTTGGTGGTCTATGAGGACTGGGTTGGAGACCACTGGTTTAGAGCAACAGTTGTCACAATGAACTCTAGTGATTTTTTAGATTTTTTTTTTTTTGCTGTTATCTTGTCAATTTTTATTGACAGACAGTGAGAAAAATTACAGACTCTACACACCCTCTCTATTCCTACACCCACTGAGTTTATAGGAGTATATATGATCGGCTGTTCAGGAATACTCAGAGTACATTTAATCATTCTTTTATACTTTGCAGGTAGAATATCATCCTACAACACGAATATGTTTACTGCTTCGGAGAAATTCTGTAACAGATCACTATGGTTTCTTTAGATAGAGATTATAAATTTATTACACCTGAAGTCAGTCAGTAATTTAAATGTAAAACAAATTATAGGAGAAAAGGTGTGAGGCTAGATCACAATATAGGGATATATTTGATATGTTTTGTTTTATTTTTATCACAAAATCATGAAGAACTTTGAGGTTGTCTTGTATTTGCCTGGACTTATTGTATCAGCTGTGAGTGTAGAGCAGATATTCTGCTTCCTGGTCCAAGTTTGCTGTTTTACTGGGTTGATTATATCTCAATAATCTTTGGATCTAATCACCTAAATTGCTAGCATTCATTTATTTTATTTGTTAGATATCCTTTTTGCAAGTCTGTTTGTTAATAGACTGTGTAGATGGCACTAAGTTGTCGCTATACATTTTTTTCATAATCTAAGTTTTACCACTATTGTTTCAATCTGCATTTTCATTTTTTTTAAAGCCCTCTTTATAGAAATTCTAATTTAGTATATTCAGCAACAGCCTTGTAAGTTACTGGGATGCCATTAAATAGTTTTCTACCGGTAAATAACTTTGGGACAATTGAGTTTATTTCAAATTACGTGGTTATAATTGCAGATGGTAATCTGAAATGTAAAATATCAAAAGGTATTAAATAGAGAATTATTCTAATTAATGTTTTTATAGATTAGTTCGATGATGACCACACAACAAATTGCAGTATCTTTATTATACACTAGAGGGAACCAGAGTATCACGGTCTGACTTGTTACTTACCTGTTGGGAAAAAATGCTTATGAAACATCAAATTCCTTTTACACAAACAGTCCCTAAATAACTGAGAATCAATTGTAATTGTCTCAATTGATTCGATTATTTATCTCAAAACATTAAATCAAACTTTATATTATAGCCATAATGTCCCTGTTAAATAATACAAGTATAATACATGCTGACATTATATAATAGCATCACATATCTATTTTTGGTCGTTGACTCAAATATTACAACAAAAGCAGAGGTAAACTGATATGTAATGCAGTATGTCAAAATGGAAATTGTGGTGGGTGATGAATGTGTAAATACAAACAGTGCCTGCCCTTATCTTTAATCATGAAATACTGCAGTTTGTACATCGAGAACATATCATTCTGAAAAATTTAGATCTTATGTCATGTAGCTCTTGGGATTTCTGCAAAATAAATATAAAGCAATTTAAATATGAGTCATAGGATAATGTAACTTGCTCAAAGCCTTTTTAAATGTTACCATATCTAATTTAAATCATTATTCTGCCTCTTATGACCGATTCTTCTAATACTTTAGTACCAATTATTTATCATGTCAAATGGCTATATATATCATTACATGATAGAACCTCTGTCCCTCGGTTCTCAATCTAATTGGCACATGCAGCAAATCTATTTAAAACTCACTTTTTTACAGAAATGAAAATTAATACATTTATTTTCACAGGATCGTATTTGCTTTAAGCCAAGGTTAAATACACTTTTCTACGAATGAAGAATATCACAGAGAAAGATGCTTTCAAATCTTATTCAAAGTATAATGGTTTTTTGGTTTTTTTGCTGTAGACAAGTAATGATGTGGGCCAATTTTCCCACACCTGTAGAAATTGTTCTGTCTGATAGGATTTTGACTTAAGAATCTAAATTGATGGATTCAAATTGCAAGGATATCCTTGTGATGACTTTGGTATTTAAAAAGACTGCCATGTTAAGCTATACAGATAGAACACTGCAATTCACTTCTAGAACACTACAACTTTTTTATTATTATTATTTATATAACTCAAAAATATTCCACAGCTCTTTACAATCATAGAATGGGGATGACTGACACATAATTATATAAAATATTAAGAAAGACAAGAGGTGAAGAAGGCACTGCTCAAATGAGCTTACTGTAACGGATCGCCGGGCACCACGACTGGGTACCTTCGGATGCTCCAAGTGCTTCCCGAGGGCTCCAAGCACTACACCAGACACAATAACCACCGCAGACCCCACGAACCGCTGCAGCTTGGTTGGGGTTTTGCCGTCTTCCACCCACTCTGGACCCAAGACCAGGATCCAGCTTCCAGTAGGCATACCTCTCTTAGAATCCAGAGAGCAGGAACAGGAACAAGCTCTTACAAGAGCTTACTTTGGGGAGTATAGTGATTATAGCAATCCCCAGAGTGTAGGTAGTTCTCCAATCCCCCAATCATGAGCCAAGACTTCATGAAGGGTAGAACATTTCTTTTATACAGTTTTTCCCACAAGGTTACCACCCACGTGGACCGTGTGGAGCACAGGACACAAAGTCACAACGGCCAATCAACACAGTATTGTACAGTTAGACACTCCCAGCTAATGTACACAAACCCTCCCCTCGGCCTGTGATACAATTACCAAACACAATGGACTAACTCAATTACCACAGGCAGAAAATATCTAGTTTTACCCAAAGTCCAGAAACACCCCAAAACAACAACATATCCCCACAAATCATACATCCCTGGATAGCCTTGATTTGGGTGAATAATATCCACAAATCACCCAGATCAGAGCAGGGGTTCAAAAGATTTATGTAACTCACATTTGATCGTCCTCAAGCATGGCTTTCATGCCCAAAACAGTTCCATAGATTTAGGCTATGTGGACGGTCTATCTTCTCCTCTATCCTGGAGATAATTGGCTTAAGTGGCTGTGGTAACTTAATTATCTCCAGGTACAAGAAATATCTCTAAGTCAGAAACTGTTACAAAACCCCCCCAAAAATACATAACTCTTATAATACATATCCCCAGATAGCGCTCAATATGTCCAATGTTAAAAGTGCACTATAGTACAAATAAGGGTGGGGTCAGAAAATAGCAAGGGCTGATGGGAGATTGAGGAGGGACAAAATCCAATATGCCCAAATAAAGCTTTTAAAGGGCAATACATCCCAGGGGCGATAGTCAAAGGGCAAGAGGTTGGCAAGCAGGCCTCTCCAAATCCCAGTGACGAAGGTGCTTTCGTCACACTTACAATTTACAATGTACTTGTTTAATTGTGTTAACCTCAGTATATTGGTATTATCCTGTATATCTCAAGAAAGCTAGGTGGTGGAATGAATAGCTAGAATCACTAATGGTATTGTTTGTTTCTTTGGATTTCACTCCATCAGTTGATTTCAGATTATATATGAGATGCATCTTACCATTGCTGGCAGAGGGCAATATGTTCACCCACCTCAATTAGGTTTTGTTCCACACTGAACAGAAATCACAGATTTATTTATTTAGGTCATCCAACTCGCAACCTCACTTGAATCCCTTATCTCCCACCGAAGTGCATCCCTGTCCTATACCATGCAACACAAATTAAAATTTAACTTTTAAAGCCCCATTTGCATTCACCTTTCCTCAGCAACTGGTAATCACTCTGCAGCTAGCTATCCGTCTCAACTTTTAACTTAATTGTACATTACATGTTTAATGAAAATAAATTGTTAGTGAATGAGTTAGTTAGTTGTATATTCTGGATGTCATAATTACTCATTCGGCAAAAGACAGTTTATTTATGAGTTGAGCTGCAGGTAAGTCATGAAATTAGATATTTCATACAATACAAAAGGATGTTGAGGCAAGGTATTTAAGTGTATCCTGAGTCTCAGCCTCCATACATTTTCTAACTCTTCTGAATTTTTTATCAGTTTTTCCTGAGTTGTACTCCATAAGTAAATAGGATAATATTTTTATTTAATTTTTGTAGAACTAATCTAGTGAAAACATCTAAAACCCTAATCATATCGACAAAACTGTTCGCCGTCTCATGGGCTTTTATATTTTGCAAGTTACCAACAGAGTTGACATATACTGGCAGATTTGGAATCTGCAGCAGAACTCACGGTGCATAAAATGGTATTTCGAACTAGCAAACACTGTGGTGTTACAGTTCACTGCAAGTTCAGTGTATATATAGGATTGCAGTGTAACCATTGTTATAATGATGTGGAATATTATTGTGAACTAAGCTGATATTCTATCCCTGGAACTGCTTTGCCACTACATTACTTGCTGAAATACACTTCACAGACAGATTTGTTGACCAGTGTCAATCATTTTAAAGGGTCATTAGTATTGTGGCATATCTGGGGGCAAAAGATGACAGATGGACCATTCTCTCAGCCTGAAGTGTCAACTGATGTCATTGTAGGACAAACCAACTTTCTCTTCATTGACTCATTGAACTTAAGACTATCGAAGGTAGGTCAGAAGCTGTCTTAGCATCCTAAGATAGTGCATGTCAAATGCACCACGAGGTCACTTTGACACAGATCTTTATGACTAGCTAAACTTGATAAGATTTTGATAACGCTTGAGTGAAAGCACTACATCCAAAAACCCATGGGGAAGAGTCAGTCGTAGTGCAACGATCAAGGCTGTCTAATCCACACAGTTTAAAACACCATTATGTGGATTTGGACAACCTTGCCAAATGGTCTACACTACATCTTTCTTGGGGGGAACTCCATCTCAGCAATGGTGAGTCAGCCTAGTTCTCCACTTCTTTTCCTAAACTCAACTGAGTCCTTGGATACACGTGGGTATGTTTTACAGCTCTGTACTTTACCTTAATGGCTGTCTGGGGGCTTTTCTCCTGGATTGATGTCTAAGACTCATAAAGTCTGTTTCTTGCCTCTAGATGACACATATAGTCTACGCTCCAGTGCAGGTCAGATCAACCATTTTAAGGAG